TATATGTATGTATATATATAGAGATATAGGGTTTTAGGGTTACCCCCAATGGGTGTATAAATACATCTATATATATATATAGATAGAATAAACAATAAGGTTTCCCCAATACAGAAACTCAAAATAAGCTCCCTAAACTCCTATATTCCCCCAGCTCCCATTTCATTCTCCATTATAGGGGGATAATATGGTAACCCTAAGCCCCAAATCCTCTATATGTATGTATATATATACATACATACATACATACATACATACACACACACACACATACCTTACATTACATTACATTACATTACATACATACATATATATTCCGTAACAGCAACCCAGCTTCAGGGCTGGACGGGATGCCGAAGCTGCAGCGCCAGAAGAAGCCGAGGAAGCCGCGGGAGCTGCAACAGCCTTGGGGAAGGGGTGTGTAGGATTTATGGGGTCTAGGGTGTAGGGTGTAGTTAGGGTTTAGGGTTTAGGGTTTAGGATTTAGTGTTTAGTTAGGGGTCTAGGGTCTCGGGTTTAAGGGTTTTGGGATTTAGAGGTTTAGGGGTTAGGTGTTTAGGGTAGAGGGGTTTAGGGTCATTTTCCCCAAATAATAGAGAAGCAAAGGGGAAAAGCAAATACAATGCAAACTGTCCAAGGGTTCAGGAATAGAAAAGGAAAAAGAAACGTCTATACCACTATGGGCTTATGGACGTGAACGATTTAGGAGTCAGGGATGAAAACAAAAATGGAAACTACTCCATTGTCTCTTGCACCCCTAAACCCTTTGAGCACTCAGGGGTGGAGAAAGAAGATGGAAGCCAGTCTGCTGTTTGCGCTATAGTCTACACCCCGATTATCCCCACTAATAACCCTTAATTATAGTAGCCCCCTATACAATCCCCCATCTGACTTCCTTTAAGGAGTTTGGACCATGGCTCATTCAGCAGGGCTTTAGGATGGGAAAGAAGACTGAAACTAGTGCATTATTTAGAGCTTTGGTTTTAGGAACTACTAGTGCTTCACGTACAGAGAAAATGAAGCTACAGTGCTTGATCATTTTATTGAGGTCTGGGTTTAGGGGTTACGTGACTTACTTGTGCTTGAGTGAGAATGAAACAGAACTGGAGGCTACGGCACTACATTATTGATACTTTGGGGCTTAGGGGTCTTTAGATTCCGTGACTTGCTGGTGCCAAGGGGGGAGAATGGAAAAACGGAAGCTATATCACCATGTTAGTGAGGGTTTGGGGTCCAGGGGTTCCATGACCTACTATGTGCTGCAGAGGGCGTGGAGGCAAAGAATATGGACGCTAATGTCGGGGATCGCAAGGGGATTCTGGGGGGATCCATTCCCTGTGCACACCCCGCAAAAGCTCTCTCTGAATCTGTCTGCCAACACATTCGTATATGTATAAAATACATATATATATATAGACGCATATACGCGTAGAAATCCTGCATGTATCATAGAAAACCAACACGTACAAAGGACCTACAGCCCAGCACTCTAAGCCCCGAACCCTAATTAAACTAATTAACCCCGAACCTTACACTCAGAGCCAAAAACCCAAAGCCCTGAACACTGAACTACATGGTAGTCTCCCTGAGTAGGGGGCCCCAAGGAAAAATCACCACCATCCCTGTTATTGGGACCCCCAAAACGGGACTCCTAATTTCTGGAAAGCACCTACATGGAATGTCATCCGACTGGGTTGGGAAACACATCTTTGACCCTTGTGTACAGAATACTGGACCCCTAAGGGTTCAGGGTTTAGGGCCTAGGGTTGAGGGCATGATGCCCTATAGTACAGAAACATTGAGCAGAAAGTCTTCCCAATCAATCCGGTGTCTGTAGCTTCAACTTGCTCCAGCACTTGGTCGAACAGGATGGTGTGAGTCTTTTTCATGGCTCCGGCTTTGCGTGGGCCAGGAGCCACATAGGCAGCGCAGATTTGTGCCCAGGTCATGTCACTGCGCTCCCCCACAAGGGTCGGAAATCTGGGGATGTTGTCCTGCGTGAGTTCTTGGTAGCGGTAGGTGATGACGGCATTCAACTGTGGCGGATCTCGCCGCTGCGCATCACTCAGGCCAGAACCAACCTTAAACCGCCGTTTGTCGGGCGTTTCGCAGAGTAGGGCACCACACATTCCAGCCACTCTGCCCGTCCCACCGGCATGTCCGACCACGATAGCCTCTTCGTCGTAAAAGGTCTTCACCTTTAGCCTGTAGTCTCCTTACACCTACAAAAAATATATATTTTTTTTAAAAAAATATTTCCTTAGGGTTATACTATTACTATAATAAACATTAAAAATAGTTCCTGAGGACAGTACAGTAGCAACGACTTCGACCTCCGGTGTTCGTACTTGGATCCTGGGCAGCGCAGCATGAGGCCCTCTCCACCTCGCTTTTCGGTCTCTGCCAAGGCCGAATCCAGATGGTCTCTGTTTGCACACTTCTCCATGGGCACAGCCTTTAGAACAGCATCCTGGGCTGCTTGCTGCTAAGAAACTTGTAGTGATGGAAAATCAACAGGAAAATGAGATGAAGTGGGGACTGGGGATACAGGGTTTAGGGCTAAGTGATACATCATGGGCATGTAGTGAATAGTTTGGTTTCTCTGTACTGATAAAGTTCCATAACAGCAGCCCAGCATCCTTCCCCAAGGCTGCACAAATGCGGCGTACCACCTCCATGCGAGACTCGAACGATTTGTGCTCAATGTTGGTACCCCCATCCTCCAAGCAGTCGAAAACCTTAGGCGTCCAGTATCTAACTGGAGTTTTTCCAGCGCTAAAACCGTGGGTTACTGTACATTATGTGGGAGATTACCCTGAAACAAGTTAAATCTCTGGCCATTGTATAATAGTTTCACAACCTGGAATCACGCGATTTGAATTTAGATACCATCTCTAGATTAGTCACTGGTTAGCCACCATTCAGGGCAAGGTCGGGTGGGGTCATTACGTTATAGTTTGGCGCAGCGCAGGTCAAAGGTGGGTCACTGTACAGGTAAGAAGCCATGTATGTCAAGAATTCCCACTCATCGTGGCGCGTGGAGCTCCGAACAATCCCAGAGGTCTTCTGGAACTGCCTGGGTTGCCACCAACGTTTAGGGTCTAGGGTTTTGAAACCTTAAGTTAAGTCCAAGACCAATGTCGGGTCCCGATTAGTGTGGGGCGCCTTATTGTGCAAAGTTTCGCCGAAATTATTCAGGACTCCCAGGTTCGGTTGGGGGGCCTTACTTGTGCCAAAAACAACAATTCGGAGCCTATCCTGAGCCCTCATATTTGATTTTATTTAAAACCTAGGATCCACATTTGGCGGATCCCTCCTACTGAATTTCACTTAAAACCAAGGATCCAGATTCGTTTGAGGGATACAATCCCCCTACACGAAAAAGGCTCCCATGTTTGTTTGGGGGAGGGGGGGCTCCCTACACTAATCAGGACCCCACATTAATTGGGATTATGTGGTCCCTAGTTGTGGGTAGATATGCCGGAATAGCAGGCAGTTGGGGGGTCTAGGTTACCGAAGTACAGATGCACAACAAGTAACATGGTTCCTTGAGATGGCACCTTAGTTTCAGTTCCTGAACAGCAACCAAGTTGCCCTCGTCCTCCCCAAAGCTCCCCGTCAAGCACGCAACCGGCGGGCATCTTCCTTATTGGGGTTATATTGGAATAGTGGAAATGAAAAGTAAACTACTATAATGGGCTATATAATGTAGATTTATATAGGGTCTGGTGTTTGAATGGGAATGAGGGGGGTTGAATGCCAGCACTTGGCTGTTTCAGTGGTACACCTGGATTTTTTTTGGGATAGATCTACCGACCTTAAACCCCAAAACCCCTCAACCCTACCCTCCGCGCCATTGGCAATTAGCTCCCCTCGTCACAAACATTTAAAAGCAACTGTAGCTGCAATTGCTATCATACCCCTGACATGTTACTTCTCTATGACTGCTAGTATGGGTAAAGCTGTGTACTAATCATGATAGTGACCAGCCTACGGAACTAAGCAAGGACCCCAAACCCTAACCCCAACATCTAGAAACTGAACCCGAAACCCTAAACCCAAACCTTAAAAGCTCTTAACCACCAGAGCTTCTTCTTGAACCAGCTCGGACAGGCGAAGGTGTTGTCGCCACGTGAGCCAAACTCCCCATTTCGCCACACGGCTCGAACGCCATCCAGCTTCCTCCATTGGGGTACTATTAGGGCTATACTGCGGTTATATTGGGGTAACATTGGGATGATATTGGGGTTATATTGGGGATATACTGGGGTTACATTGGGAGAGTGGAAAATGAAATGGAAACTACTATAATGGATTCTATATTGGGGCTATACAGCAGCAACGGCAACATCAATAGCAGCAACAAAAGCGACGGCGACGGCGAAGAGGAGGACAGCGTGGACAAGAACGAGGACCACGACGACAACGAAGGGTGTAGGCTATAAGTTTATAATGTTTAGGGTAACAGTTACAATGACATGACATGAGCCAATGTAAGCATAGTAGAAGCAGTAAAAGAATTTCGCTGACCATGACAAGATGTTTGCATTTCTTGCTTTACTCGCTCTTACCTGGACGGTGATGCGGACTTAGGAGGTACCCACATTACTAACCGAATATTAGGGTTATATTGGTGGTTCTATTGGGATAATGCAAGAATGGAAACTACTATAATGGGTTATCTATTAGAGGTTTACTGAGTCCCACTGACCATCCAAGTGCCCACAGCTAAGCATAGGGAAAGACTCCCCAAACCCTAAACCCTAAACCCTAAACCCTAGACTGCTGAAGGCGGTGCTGGCGTCTCTGACATCCACCATCCTGTTGGGTCTTCATTCCTGGGTTGCTGTTAAGGAACTTAACTTAAGTTACCATAATGGGTTTAGGGTTTAGGGTGTAGGGTTTAGGGTTACCATAATGGGTATATATAGTAAATAGTAGGGTTTCTCCAATATAGTAACTGAATTTAAGTTCCTCAACAGCAACCCAGATTCTCCCACTTCTTTGCCAGCAGGACATCCGACATTTTGAAGATGCAGAAGCACAACTGTTAACTGGTCAGTTTGCGGCTGCTTTTAAACAATGTTTCTGATTGCATGTTTTTGCAATTTACCGCCTCCGGCACTGCTACGATGTTAGCAAACACATTTTCGCAAGCATTCTTAAAAGAGCAAAACAGCCTCGGCATCCAAGTGCTTGCAGCCGATGACCCTAAACTGGATTGCTGCGGTTAATTACTATATTAGGGGAACCATAATACCTACTCTTTATATACATACCCGCTATGGTAACTTAATTTAAGTTCCTTAACGGCAACACAGTAAACCATGAAGCCACAGCTGCAGAGAGCTTGCATAAGTATAACGAAACTGGGACCGCCACCTTGGAAAGCGCCACGCCACCTCAGCTGCAGCCGGCTTCAAAAACTCGAGTGACAAATCAAATATGGTAGCAGCTAAGCCCTCAGACTGTTCCCATCTTCGTCCTCCTTCTGAAACACACAGTTGTAGGAGTTGTCATCCGCCACTTGCGTGCGGAATGTGTACAGCAGCTTGTACCTGCAGCACGTGCTCAGAAGAAACAATCAAAGCAAGAGAAAGTAGTAGTGTAGTTTCCAATTTATTTTCCATTATCCCTATATAATCCCTATAAAACCCCTATACTACTCCCTTAAATAACCCCCTGTAGAAGCTAAATCGCACTGGAGGCAAATCACGCAAGGCCACTGTAATTGATGTAATACGAACTACAACCTGGTATGACCTTGGGGACGCTGGGGATGGAATAGGGACCCCGCGCCCAAAATAATCTAAACCTCGTAAATAATATGTAGGTGCCTCCAGAAAGGAAGCTGCAATTATGCAGAACCCCCGTGAAAAGCTCTTAGCCAAATTCTAGCCAAGTGCTTTGCTCTCATTGAGTCGGATATGCGGCTTGACAGCATCAAAGCACATCCACCGCAGCGGAACAAGGTGTTCCTCGGCATCTCAGCTAATTCTTTCCGTTTAGGGAAACCAAGAGTCACCATCCACATGTGTTCCTCTAAGAAGCCTTTGAAGCTTGCCTTTACCAAACCTGGTAGGTTGTAAAAAACTATGGCCTCTTTTTGGCTCACTGAGAAAACGCGGGATGGTACCCAAAAATGAGCTCAACTTTGAAAAGCTCCACTTTGGCATTACATCTCATCGTCTGAGGAACGCTAAACCCTTAAACCCCTAAACCCTAAACCCCGAAACCCTGAACCTTAAACCCTAAACCCCTAAACCCTAAACCCCTAAACCCTAAACCCTAAACCCTGAACCTTAAACCCTAAACTCCTAAACCCTAAACCCACGGGAAGGTGCCCAAGCACAGACCCATGTACACGTCCAGCAAGTTTCTAGAAAGTTCTTTAGGTTTAAGAGTTTAGGGTTTGGGGTTGAGGGCTTAGATTACGCTACTACGTGAGTGCTCTCCTTTCTAGATGCCCTCTAATCCCTCAATCCTTCACTCCTCCAAACACCGCAAAAAAGAACCCGCAAGAGGCTCCTGGTTAGTCGGGGTGCACACCGTGTCTGCTAAAGTTTAAAAATTCTCATGGCTTCCCCTGCCACCCGCCTCTGTACTACGTCTCCGGTTCCCCCCTTAACTAAGGTTATTTAGGGATAGCCCTCCTAATTAGGGTTATCGAAGCCCATGAGATTCAAGGCTCTGCAGCAGCATGGACTTCTGGTTCCCTCTGTAGAGGTTCTGCGTGATGTTCCTCACTGGCGAACCACGCGCTTTGGGGGTTACAGGTTTAGGGCTTAGGGTGGAATCGGTAGGGATGATGCAGGACGCGGGTTTCTTGGAGGTTCATGGGTTCTTGTAGCCTACGTAAGACTGTACTTCTATCCCAGATTACGACCCGGAGAAGGGCCTTAGGGCCTTAGGGGCTTACACCTTGCAACATGTTATGACTACAGCTATAACAATTAAGATTATGGATACAGGCCGTTGAAGTGATCCAGCTTACTTGCCCAAATGGCCATTGGCAGGTTGCTCCGTTCCGTACCGGCAGAACGCAACATGCATGCAGGCAAACAGGGGCCTAACCCCAACCCAACAAAGGCCCTACGAACACTGCTGTCCAGCTCGCTGTAGTCTGCGTGTGGATGTTCAGGTAAGTTTGGGGCAGGGCGGAATTTTCTGTTGCGCCAGCTACTTGGCCAGCCCTTGACGCGAGGGAGCTGCGCCAGAATGTCAACCCAAATCAGTCTGGCACACACACCGCATCCCCTGCACAGTCGAAACCCTGAAACTAGTATCCCCCTTAATAACCCCTATAGTAGTCCCTTATAAAATCCCCTATATAACCCCCTTTTAACAAGTTTAGACTATAGCTCATGTAGTGTCCTTTGCAGACCATGGATCACCCGTCAGGCTTCGCTCCACACAGGCAAAATTCCAACATGTTCAGGGCAAGCCCAGAGATCCAGTTGACTTGGGCAATCTCATCTAAATACCAAATTGCTACAACTGTGTAGCGTGGGTCTGGGCAATTCGGATCTCAAGTTATGTTTTGGGCCATTGGGGTTGCCACTTCAGTCCCGGAGCCAAAAACTCTACACTCCAAACCTAGGAAAAAAGGGATGAACGTCCCACATCTGCTGAGGGTCTCTGTGGAGATCACAAGGGCCAGCGATCCGGGCCTGTTCTC